AAATTGAGATCCCCAGCCATATGATGAAGCCTCACAGGACATGAAGTTCTATAAGTAGGAGTGTAAAAGCATGCCCTTTTACTATAAATAATGATTAACTTGATAGTTGTTATGCTGCTAGTGAATACCAGAAGGTCACAACTTATTTGCTTATAGCTTGGGGAACAGAAAGAATATTCACATGAGCTCACAGGCTTAGGTACAGTAATCCTAACAATAAAGTTAGGAGAGACTGCCCCAGAATAATTACAACTGCTATTATGCATAATGGAATAGAACATTCAGTAATGTTTGCTGCTGAAACAAGTGTGCTTCGTCAGAGATCACCAGTCAGGCTACCTGCTATAATCCTTGGTATTGAACTGTGCAACAGAACTTGCATATAAAGTTGCACACATGCTGTCAACTTCCATCTCACTTGAAAACAGTCCATTTGATTTAATGAATTTACAAATCTATATATCCAAGGGGGTTCCCTTTTCCACATCATTATGTATGAAAAGTTCACAACACCAGACAAGCAATGAAACTCAATTGAAAAAAAAAAAAAAAACAGAAATGGATACCAAGAAGCCCATATGATAACAAAAATTTTAAAGCATACATACAGCATTACAAGAGGAGTCACAAAAAACCCACAACAGCCAATTAAGAAATCATTTTACTGGTTATTCATGACACTTACATTCAATGTTGTAAACAGATTACAACTCACTTGAAACCCACTATTAACAACACACTAGATGAGCACATCAATCTGTAAAATCCTAAGCAACAAAACCACCTCATTTGAGGATTAAAAAAAAAACAGTAAATGTGGAAAGAAGAAAAGAAGTTAATGAATCAATTAAAAAAATGTTAAAATTATAAATTGCAATAGTTCACTGTATTCCCTATAGGTTAGAGTTAATATCACACACACTGAAGCCAGCACAAGTGAAAGAATTATGACAGGTGGCTGAAAGCACTGCAGAAACACAAAAGCAGCTTGAGACAATGAAATGCATGAAGTCTGTCTTAATTGGTTGGGAATAAATCAGAAAATTTGTATTTTCATTAGAACCTTTATTCAGCATGCTTGCCAGGGTGTCAAAAAGTATCACCATTGTCAGTAACTATGAAGCAGCAGTAAGGCTGGTCCAAAACAAAAACAGAAAGTGAGGAGGGAGAGAGAGAGTGCAAGAGAGAACAAGAGTAGAAGAGTGAGCGTGACAAAGAGATTTATTCCTTGCTTCTTGTCAGAACTTTTAATTTCAGGCTCAGCAGGAGCCACAATGATAAGTACACAAAGCCAGCCAGACATTTTAGAGGTCTATTACAAAGATATCATACCATGATATCTTCAAATTGAGACAATAAGATACCACTGGAAGCAGAAGATTGATGGATATATATGACTACTCGCTGACTGAACTTCACTCTCCCTCGTACCCATAGCTTTCAGACACATTCAGCATAGATCACTCTTCAGAGAACACAGTAAATAGATGGAATCGCAATGTGATGACCAGTACTCTTTCAAGCTGCTCTGCAAGAGAGGAATATATTCCTTATAATTACATCCCTGTCAGACTTAGTTAGGTGTCTAATAAATCTTGGCAAGGAAATTAATATCTTACTAAATGCACTAGGAAGATTTTTTATAATCTGAAGAACATCCATATGAATAGAAGTTTAAAACAAACTTCTATTTCAGCGCTACAGTCCAGAATAAAACCAGAGAGAGAATTTTACAGATACTGAGATGTCAGTAAAATCAGAAATGTCAGCTTTCAAGCTACCCATACTTCAATCAGCAGACGGAATGTTTAGTCAACAGATACATCAAGGGAAAAAGCTTAGATTTTAATCATCCAGTGAATATATATTGCTTTCCCTAGCCACTACAAAGAGTGCATATCCTTCTTTGTCAGGCTGAATAAATCTGAGCAAATAACTGTAGTGTTTTTCAAACCTCCCATGGATAAACCACAGTTAACTATATGCCCTTCAAGCGAGTACAGAAGCAACACTCCAGAACCACACCAGAGCACTCCCTAACACTTGAGACTTTGAATCCAAACAAAACATAAAACTGAGGTCTTGATCAGAGGGGCTCAACAGACTTGTGGAACAGGAAAATCCAGAATTCCAGCTACTGAGGTAAAACTACCCAAAAAAGAATGGGTGTAAAACAGAACACTATGTCAGGGACAGAAAAGACCAATGAAAGGCAATGTGGCATGCTAAAACCCACAAGCCCTCAAAAATTACATGTACAGGTCATGCTCACTAGTAGCCACACCGCCCCCCCACCCCGCAAAATAAAAAAAAAGCCACCAAACCCATAAAATCCAAGATGCATCTGCATCTTGAATGTTGCATGGGGCTCTAGATCCCAACAGAGGCAAAAAATGAGGAGATGTAAAATGGGGGAGTTGTATTCATCTGGCTCATTTTGTCCTTATCTAGAGGCTGTGTTATACATTTAAATTTCTCCTGTCTGAAGATAGTGAAAAGAGAATGAAACTGTTTTTCCCAGTTTCCCATTCCTTTCCTCCTTTCTAGAGCAAATTTCTGGCTCTGCAACTGTAAGCCCCGAGATTCTCCTATATTTGATTGGTGATCAATGATATGCAGAATAACATTCATGAAAAGTGCAAAGGTAACTTATGTTAACCTATCGCTGGGTCTTGGATTGTGGAATTACACATAAGGTGATTTTACTTTGGTCCCTGTTCTTGAGGTAAGAGCTGCCTTCTAGACCAGCTGAGGTTTCTTGACAGAGGTTAAACACCAGATTACAGATGGACACAAAAGGCACAATGCCACCTTGACGTTCCCTCCTGCCCCCCGCAAAGCGCACATGCTTTTTATAGTTTTAAACACAGATCAGCCAAGCCCAGGTTCTAGGCCAAGTTTTGTCTGCGTGAACGCTGCACAACTCAAACTCCAGCAGCTGGTCTTGACTGCCGTGAAACCTCTCCCAAAGGTTCTGCACTTACTCAGATAAGCCGAAAAGAGAGGGCTTGGCATCTGAGAATTGAATCCTCAGTCCCTGCTAACTGGAATGTTGCAACATTGGAACAAAATAAATTATAGTTATCGGTGGCGATACACAGCAATATGGAGTGCATATGATTTAAAATGCAAAGTAACAACACAAAAACTGGCTAACCACATTACAACACATATTTTTCAAGTCCCCAATAACAGAGGAAACAAAGTAGCTGATCACAATCATGAGTATTTATTTATCTCCTAAGGGTTACACAGTCTATTTATATTCATTTGCTTACATTGTATACACGTTCAGTATAACCCAAGTAAAACTGTGAACTGCTACTTATGTCCTCATAGGTGTTAATATTAGGTTCCTGCCATTTTCAGTATTCTTCAGTGAAATGGTGCCATACTTGTTCATTAGTAAGAGGAAGCATAGCAAGAATTGGTTTTGCCTTACACTTACAAAGAGGCTTTATTAATTTTCAGTAGATGATATACAGTGAGTCATCAATTCAACCCCAAGAGACAAAAGGTAGTGCTCAAAAAACAAATCTTTATTTCTAAATGACTAGGAAGAGATCAAAAAAATACATCTTTATCACTACTTATCTATATATTTTCCTTTTATTGAGACAATTTTGGCAAGTTTTGTTCTAAAAAGCTTTTCTTTTCACATCCTGAAAGTTATTTAACAAAGTTGAAATTAAACAATTCCATACTACAATGCAGTCATTTAATAACAATTGAGAAAGATTTTTTTCTGCCTCGCCATTGTCAGTGGACAGTCATTTTTTAATTTCCTGACAGACAAAAGGTATTTCCAGCAATACCTGCATTGATGCTCCTTCCACCCGTGCTACACAGGCAAATCTATCCAGGAAAGTCACGGTTACTGGAACAGCAACAAAGAAACCTTTTAAAAAAGCTTTAACGTATCTCTTCCCCAAACGTTGAGCCTGTGCCATAATCTGAAAAATATGAAGAAAATGGGAAAAAAAGTTGTTATAAAACAAATTTTAAGTGACAACAACACTGTAGCAATCCAATAAGGAACAATTAGGAATAAATTAATTATATTATCTGCTACGGTCTCCAAATACCCACAGTGAAAAAAAAAATTAATGTGCACATGAGAATGAAAAAAACCCAGAAATCTTCATTCGAATTTAAAAGTCTACTCTACAGAAGAGAGCTTGATACTTGACCCTTCAGCTAGTTTGACCATTTCTTGTGACCCTGCGCTAGCAGAAGTACTTGATAAAAATGACTCAGTAACAGTTCAGCTAAGTAAGAAGGAAACTGATACAACCAGACAAAATCTAATAATGTATTTTAAAAAAAAAAACCCTACTAGATTGAAAAAAAAAAAAAAAAACAAAAAAAAAACCCACCACAATTACAGACCATTCAGTTGGCGTTTACAGCCAAAATTCTGTACAGAATTTTCTCTCCATGCACTGGTAATTATTAATTTCTGACCCCCAAAGGTCACAAAAGAAAAGCTGACTATTTGCAACACATTACCATTTCTTTATTAAACATCTTCACAGATAAAAATGCACAAAGTCATTATTTCCACACTTGAGGTAACTGCAAGCATGTAAAATCAATTAAAATTGTCACATATATCATAAGGACACACAGTAACACAAGGACTCCTTGTTCACTACTACATCAGAAAGTTGAAAGCATATTGGCAGACTGGGCAGCTAAGTAATGATACATGGACTATCCCATTCCAGCTTACCATATATTATGCTATCTCCCATCCATTTATTTAGCCCTGAACAACTGAAAATTCTTGAGAAACACCAGTTCTGTGATCGTATTGGTTATACCTCTGAGAAGCAAGCTGGACACCTAGGTACTGCTGCAAAGGTGTACGACTACGTTATATAACTGCAGTTTCATTATAAGAAATGCTGCCCTTCACCTATTGGCAAATCCAATTCAAACTGCTGTTGCCACCTAATGAATCCCTGGTAGACCCCACACAAGATCAGTGTCCACATCCCAACTCTAACAGATAGTAATAGAAGGACAAAACAGACTGTCCCCTGAACTTTTGAGTCTTTCAGTGTGTTTGTATTCAAGAACACAGTATTATTTTTCAATCAAAATAACAGAAAACAAATACCTGCGGTTTCATTCAATCCTCTTACAAACAGCATATTTGGAATTTCACAAAACAATCATTTTTCTCTGTTGCATTTTCAGAATATGGAAGAGATTAACTATTTGTACACAAAACAAATTCAAATTACTCTGAAACAGTACTGAAAGCAGTATTTGTCACAGATGTGGCTTGTTAATTCCGTAAAGCCTTACACTTAAGAAAGGAAGCCCAGTTCTACAAAATAAGCCACCAGCATATTCTTCACTAAAATTCTTTATAGATATTAATAGCTTTGCAATGACAAGATCTGTCTTCTAAAAGGCGGGAACATCTTTACTATAACTTCCGACATCCACCCTCACAAGGTTTTAAATCTCTCTTACTTTTTTTTTTTTTTAAGTGGAAATACTTCACCATCATCTATAACTCTTGCTCATAACATAAGTTTAACTAGTAAAATGTCTAAATGTACTTAATGCTTGTAATTCAATTATATTTTCCTTCTGCACATTTCATGAAAACATTTTCAATTTGCATCAACAGCTTTCAAAAAGACTTTGAAACAGGTTGTGAAACAGAACAAAAACTTCATCAGTGCAAGACAGATGTTAAAATGCTTTCCTTTCACCTTATAATTTAAGAACTCATTATTGGAATCAATCCACCAAGAGACTATTGCCTCAATCATCACAGATTTACCTTTAGAATTATTCCACATAAAAATCAAGTATCTAAAAATCAGGGTTTTGTCTGCCATTTAACAAACTATACCATTTCATATACCTTAACACCTTTGTCTCAATCGACTGATTCTGAACTTCTCGAGTTTTCTGGCTGGAATTCTACTCCTCTGCTATGAGGTCTGGCATATCTCAGATCTCCACTCTAACAGCAATGTCAGCCTCAAAACATGACTTTGAGACCTTGCCCACAAACACATCCAACATGTTCTCTACAGTCACTCTTTGAGCTGAAAGACACTCCCTGACAGCTGTATCACATCAGAATACTGTGTTCTTGAATATAAACACACTGAAAGTTGTTTTAAAAACTAAGAAATCAGACGAATTTACTCACTCTTTAAACTCCTCGTAGTCAAACCTAATTTTCATCAATAATGAAGCATCAATGTTCACCTCATCGCTTCTAGTAAATCCACTGACAGGTTTCGTTACAAACGTCTTGCAAAAGCCCCGTGCTGGTATCTACAGAAAAATCTAGTATCTGAAGAAAATTGGTCAGACAATCCACAGGAGACCAACCATATGCTCCTGGAACTACAAGCTAATTAATAGTGGCACCGAATCTAGCAGCCAGGTTAAAACAGTGAAGACAAAATGCTACATTCTTAGGACATCACTTGGCCAAAGCAATGCCAGGAGTATTAAGCGGCTGTGGACAAAGCTGCGTGTTCAGGTCCTACTTTTGTCGGTTTGGACACCTGTGGTATTACAAGGCACAGTGTGAATAAAGATGAGGGGAAAACCACCACCAGCACCCCTACAAGCAACTGATTTGCAAAGGCACCAAAGCCAACAACAGTTGTTGTGCTGAAGGACTTGTCTACTTGCCCTTAAATTGATTTTTTCCTTCTTTCTTCCCTCCCTCCTTCCCTCCCTTCTTTCCTCTACTAGGCAACTGACCAAACCACTGGTTTTATCTTCCATCCGCACCAAGATGAATCCTTCACTTCCGGTCACACGCTACATTCTGAAAGTTTCTTCGTTCCCCACCTCCCACATAAAGGACAGCTTTTCCCCAGGACACAAACTGAGCAGGCCTGTAGGTTACCGCACACTACTGCAGACGCCCTTCTTCCCAGAAGACAGTAAACAGAGGCACACACATTTTGAAGTTTGAGAAGAACTACTTAAAAACAAATCCATCTTGAACCTTAAGTCCTTCCATATCCATACAACAAAACACCTTTAACACAAGGCTAAGAAGTTACTACATGTCAGTATCTCACTGAACAGCGTGCCCGTTTTTGCCAGGCCTATTTCATAAGCTTTCCCCTCCAAAAAGCACAGACAAGCATTTACCACTGGGTAAGTGTATGAGCATGCAGCGTTGCCATGCAACCATTGACACAACAGTTCATCATCCACCTGCCAGTAAAGAGAAGGTTACCCATCGCTCTTCCAGTAAGAGAGGCTTCAAGTTGTCTTGCGTTGCCACAGGGGAAGAGCTTGACTGCAGGCAGCAGAAAGATATTTGCAACACTACTTCTGCCAGTAACTGTGCACGTGAATGGATAATCCCCAGCTGATAAATACTGTTTCATTAAAATGTGCGGTGTTTTCTTTTCTTACACTTATGTGGTCTTAGGAGAAAAGGGAAAAAAGTAATAGCAAGCATTTACTGCAGTCACAAGAAAGAATTTAGGGTAGTAAAGGCTACACACAACAACGATCCTTGCAATTATTTTTTTTAAAAAAATCCTATTTTCTGGTTGGAGTATTCGCTTAAAAATAAAGAAAATATTAGATAGCTATTAATCCTGGAAATAATATTCTGCTCCTACATATTATATAACCTCTATGTGCTCTAACTATTTTCTTGGAAAACACCTTCAATTTGAGAAAAGATGTCAAATATTTGGAGGAAATATTGCCATAACTTTCTAATCTTTTAATTTAATAATTTTTCTCTATATTATAGAGAAAAGTTACATTTATAATTTAGAAATTTTATAGTTTATAGTAATTTTAGAAGTATACTAAAGAAATAGTACATTAAACATTTTCTATTTAAAATGAAATATATTTTTCCATATCAAATTAATGTATGGGTTCATAAAAATGCATGAATGTCACGTGCCTGTTATTTATACATAAAAATGTTGATGTCCAACATTCAAAGTGAATTATAAATTTTAGCAAGGCGAAAATTACTATTTTCAAGTCTCTAATCTACTTTATTTTTAGAATCTGAGGTACAGAGTTGCCTCTAATGCTCCTTTAAATAACAATTTAATTATTTTTCAAAGAAGAATATTCTCCAGAATGGACAGTCAACTTTTTTAACAGCTTTAAATCTAAACATATAGAATCTGAGGAAGTGCTGGACAGTAACACCCAACAAAAATGTCAAAGGCAAGGAACTAATTATCTCATAGATACACAAAGATATGCTAACAAGTTTGAAAGACACAACATGATTTCCTAATATATAAACATGAAAAGATGGTAATCATATATACTATTTTAAAATTGTATATTCATCCAAGTAATAAATTAGTAAGTAACAGTGGGTTCAAATATTTTCTGAAAATAAGACCTCTGTGAATTATCAATATTTAATGATAACTGCATGGAACTCTCTAGTATGTAAAATTCAAAAGATTTCTAAAATATCTGTAGATTTTAACAGCATCGTGTTTCCAGAGTGAAATTCTGAAATCCAGTGCAATATCTAGTTTAAACGCATGTCAGAGAAGAAAGCAAAGGATTCTTTGCTGAAAAAAAATTATTTCACCAACACACATTTCTGGATCTCTGCCCAGTCAGTGACACCTTGAATAAGATAAACAAATCACAACATCTAAAAGATGGCATAACAAAACCAGACACACAAAACACAGAAAAAATAACTTAGAGATGCACATGCTTTTCAGCATTTGGAAATTACACTTGGTTCAGGGAAAAAAAAAAACAAACAACAGAATAATCAGTAGAACTGACAAACTTCAAAGCAGCAACCTTGAAAACTTGTTTGAAATGGCAACATGGACAAGAAAAATCCAAGATGAAAAATGCTAGCATATAGCAGGTCAAAGCATTAAGAATTTCACATTGTGCAGCTCAGAGATTAAGGCAGATGGAGCACAGCATTATCTGGACTGAAGTA